GGCAATTGTTGACGTGCACCATAAAATATAATCTTCTCGCTCTTATTGCTGCCTTAAAACTTTTTGTCTGTTCCATTTGTCAGAAACCAAACGCTACGCGCGTATCCCTATAATCTACATTTATAATTTGTATTGTAAACATTTTATAAATTAGAGGGAAAGAGAAAGGGGAAAAATCAAGGCTACGCAGGTGTTGGATTTTTACTGCGCGCAAGAGAGCAGGTGTAGGATAACGGGGGGAAATCAAGACCGTCGGTATCGGATTTTGAAGGACGATTTCATGCTTGATGTCCCATGCATAATTATTGTTCTATTCCATCACTGAACAGACCATAGTAATATTTCATTCATTTAGAAGGCCTATACGGTTGTTTTTGTATATTGTGTCCTATATGTGTTGTATTTGTAGGCCTACCGTTTAATCTTTTATAATATTTTTTTTTCTTGTTTAAGATACACTCTTTGTGAGTCACTGGTCTGTGGCGCAGACTTGCATTTTATGTAATTATTCTGTCTGAACCGAAGCCAAGAGCTCCACGAAAACTCATTTACTCATTTCTATCACGCTGTCATTGTACAGAAACAACCTGCGATAACACCAAACCAAAGTGTAATCCTGTGACTGGAATATGTAAACACGAAGTAATGAGCCGAATCAAAGTCGCTTCATTTTGAGCGGCTTTTGAGGGGGGCCGAAGGGAAATCATGCCTTCCCAATCATCGGAGTATGTCTTTTGTTGACACGTGGGCTTTTGGAACTCCTTCTCCCAGACTTGTCAAATAGGCTGGTATAATTTCGTCTGCCTGTGACTGTGAAGCCCCTTTCTCTCGTGCCCAGGGTAGCTTACGTCACCCTATTCCAAACTAGACCTACTTACGGCTTGACTTGCTTCCTGCAGGTTTAGTGCGTTCTCATTGATTTTTATAACACTCCCCCGATCTAGGCCTAGATCTAGATCTCTACATGTTTATTTTTATCCTTTTTGATTTCGTCTTTTCTATTTAAATCTCTGTTTTTGAAATATTGTCCCCGGAATGACTAAGACTTTTTCTCTTCACTTCATTCTTGACATATATCTAAACGGAGGACTGTTTTCTTAGCTCAGTGTCATGACAGATGAAATGAAATGCACCATCTTCAGAATACCAAAGCCTACTTTTATTCTATTTTTTACTGCAGCCTTTGTATCTTCACTGACAGAGAAATAAACAACAACAACGACAAAAAAAAAGAAAGAAAGAAAGAAAGAAAGAGAAAATGAAAGAACGAAAAAAAGAAAAAATGAATAAAAGAAAGAAAGAAAAAAACGAAAAGAAAAGAAAAGCGAAATTCGATATTTCACTTATTTTTGTAATTGATTGGGGGCGCTTCACCCCCAAAGTCAAAATTCGGCTTAAAATTAAGGAATTTGAGTAGTAGGCATTTTTAGCTTCCTCAGCCTCTCCTACAACTATTTCATCGCATAAGAACCCCCCAAAAAACGTCTTTTTTTCCATACCGGGCATGTTTGTCACCGCCATTTCGTCATAAAGTCTGTATTTTATCTTTCTTTATCGGCCGTTTTCTCAAAACGCGATTTTAAATAACTCCACCATTTTTCATCCAATCTTCATGAAATTTTCACAGAATGAAGAGAAGAGGTAATACTAAAAATTTGTCAGTTGAATTTTTGATATATGGAATACATTTTTGCTTGTGGTCTCTGGAGTGTGGATTTTCTCGGATTTTTCGCAAACTTGACTGCTACCTCAAGAAAAAATTCATTAAAAATGTTCTTATTCGTTTAGGAAAA